TAATGCTGAAATCTTGTTTGATAATTCATCAGTTTATTATCAGCTGTGTGCCAAGACTGAATGTCACAGGGAGATAATTAAGAACTGTACCTGAAATAATAGGGCTGATTACAGTGACTGGAGGGGGGGTTCTTCTGGAGAGGGTTATGTTAAACACAGCCTTTCTGTTTGCAGTTTATTTTTTTCCATGCACATTAAGTACACTGCTCCTAGTCCTAGGAAAGTAGGTCATCTGCGAATCATTAGAGAAGAGTTTTGCAGTTGTAGGACATACATGTGTCGTTACCAGGCCCTGTTAAGTCTTTGTTTCATAATCAATGCATTTCTGAGTCAAAAGGAAAGAAAGGTAATGGCAGTCTATTGAAGGGATTTTAAAACAAAACCCAAGCTAAGCAAACAGGAGAAAGGCACCAGTGAAGCGGCGAGAATGAAACCTCTCAACTCCGTAGAAGCCGTGGTGACCTCAGCTCCAAGTGCTAGGTTTGGCACCCTGTTTAGTGAGTTGAGATTTGAATAAGGCCTTCATTTATGAAACAAGACTGTCACCACTTTGTGGATTCTTAACCAAGGACAACTCCATTCTAGGGTACCTGCAGAGACACCCGTGGTCAAGGAAGCATGTGTGTAGGATACAAGAAGAGCATTGCTCTATTCCTCTCTGCATCAGGAGGCACAGAGACATTTAATTCTAACCCTTATCCTTGCCTGACCCAGCCTTCTCTCTCTTAGTTTCTCTCTTCAGGGTTCTTCACTGTGAACATGCGTTTATCTGTAGATTCTCCTCCCTGCATGGACCTGCGGCTACTTGGTTACTTGGTTACTTTTTGGCTCCTAGAATAGAGTCAAGTGGTTCTGCACTAGCGTTCCTTTGTGTTTATAGCCTCATTTGACCCTTTCCTAAGAACAGATGAGACCGAGTTTCAAAGAATCTTAGTATCTTGGTCAATTTTACACCATCAGTGATTTCTCCTGCTTTATATTGTACTTCCTTTGTTTTTACTTTTTCTTTCTTGCTTGCTTGCTTCCTTCCTTCCTTTTCTTTCCTTCCTTTTTTTCTTTATCCTCAAAAGACATCTTATTTTAAATGTGTACTCTGATCCAGGCATCCAGTGCATACCTTTTGTCCCAGCACTTGGGAGGCAGAGGTCGGTAGATCTCTCTGAGTTTGAGGCCAGTCTAGTTTACAAAACGAGTTCCAGAACAACCAATAATACACAAAGAAACTCTGTCTCAAGTCCCTACCCCCTTTAAAAAATGTAGTCTCTGAAGCTATGTGCTTGACTTTAAGTCTCTGGCTTTGTATGACTTTGGGCAAGTCATTGTATCTTGGTATTCCATGGTCCTTAATGACAAAATATGGATAACACTGTCATCTATGTCTGCAGTGATATATTGTGTATGATTTATTAAAGCTTGTTTGAGGATTCAGAAAGCAAATCCAGCCTCAGGCTATAGCAATCAGGCAGTGGTGACACACACCTTTAATCCCAGGAGTCAGGATTAAGAGGTAGATGGAACTCTGAGTCCAAGACCACCCTGGGCTACCAGAGAGTGAATCAGAACTGATGCGTTTAGCCCCAGGATTTGGGAGGCATAAAAGATAGAGGCATTCAGTCTGAGAGTTAGTCTCCAGCCACACTGAGGAGAGCATAGCCGTCTGAGTGAATCTGAGGAGCAGTGAAGCTGAAGATCGACCCTTTGTTCTGAGATGAAGCAGAGGTAAGGAGCTAGTCACTGGCTGCTTTGCTTCTCTCATCTTCCACTTGAACCTTGAACCCCAATATCTGTCTCTGGGTCTTTTATTTATCGTACTACTTGTGTCATATCAGAATAAAAATTCATGTGATGGCTACTCTTGGTTGTCAACTTTATTATATCTGGGATGAACTCAAACCTAAGCTGCTGGCTATACCTGTGAGGCATTTTTCTTGATTCTATCATTAAAATTGGGAAAGTCCACCTTACACCCGGGCCACACCTTCAAGTAGCAACCCATATAAAAGACTTGGAAGAAGGAAGTTTTTGCATGCTTGATTTCCTCTCCCTCCTTCACAGGCATTAGAGCTGACTTCTTTGGGATTTTGATGTATACTAAATGTGAGGGCTGAAGAGCTACTGGATGCTTAGGTGTTCCTTGGTAGATAGCCATGTTTGGAATAGTTGTGTTACAGCCTGTAAGTTACTTTAATAAACCCCGTTTTTACATACAGAGATCCATTCTCTCAGTTTTGTTTCCCTAGAGAACCCTGACTAATAAAGTTGGCAAACTGTCCTATTGCATAAGAGGAGTTCCAACACGTAGCAAACTTCAAGCATGAATCTTGGTCACCATTGTTATTGGTGCTGCCTTCTATTCTTCCATCACACCTGGGTGTCTTCTCTTTGACGGGCATTGTGATAGGTTTCAAGTATAAGCAGAAGAATAACCCATGCTGTGAGACTCACTACTCATGATCCACAAAGAGGCAAGACATCTGATAAGTGCCCTTCTTCTTTTAATCACAGATGAATTGTTTGGTGCTCATGGCTATTAGGGAAGGGCTCACAGAGATTGGCAGATGGTGTTGGTTTGAACACTAGAGAGATCCCAACTATGAAGAGACAGGCATACCCAGCAGAAAGATCGAAACATCAGTAGCATAAAATAAAAGTCATGAGAAGTTATATTAATTTGTCATAAATAATACTTCAAATGGGAGAGTTTTAATTATTTCCTCAGGTTTTGGAATCTAGACATTCTAAAGATATCAGCAAATATTTGGTTTACTTAGAGGCCCAATTTATTGCCTTGTGATGGCTGACTTCTCTTACATGTCCTCACATGATCTTTTTTTTTCAAGCGCATTCTTGGTGTTTCAATGTCTCTTTATGAGGTTAACAGTCATACTGAATTAGGGCAGGACCATGTTTTTACCCAAATTACCCCGTATGCTATCTCTAGTACAGCCACATTCTGCAGTACTAGAAGTTAGCAGTTCAGTGTATGAATTTGAGGAAGAAATAACAGAAGTATTTCTCAGGTTTGGTTAGATTCACATATATGTGGATAGATATTTTTGGGTGAAGCCAGAAGGCCAAGCAACATACACTTGTTAGAAGACATGGTGTTAGAGATATCTAGCTTTCAGGTGTATTTCCACACTTAAGATTTGCTGACCACTCTAACGGTGAGATAAAACTTTGTAGCATGTTCGATAAGACACTGGGTTGAATTATCATTCTTTTTCTAACATATTCCCACGTCTCTGTGGTAGCAAAAGGGAGACAGTGATTCCCCACTAAGAAGTTAGACCACAGCTTGTACATCACTCTACTGTGACTGTGGTAAGTCTGTTGCGAACTGGGGTGTGCATATGTGAGGAGTGTGGGAACTGGCAGGAAGAAGCAGCCACAAGTACACGTCTGTCCCTTCAGCATCAGCAGGTGACTTGTCAGGCAGAGGTGAACGCGTCACAAAGTGTGCTGCTGGATCCCAGCTGAGCAGGTGCCACATTCCCTTTGTACCTAGAAGTCCCCTCAAAAGTTCTGAGCATAGTGTCCCATGTTACTACCACGCTTTGTACATGAGTGAATGGCCTCCCTCTGTTCTCCCTCAGGAGGAAGCATACAACAGCTCACTGCTGTTGACAGAGAATGCTATAACCAATCTCCGTATCAGATTGCCACACTTGACTGCTTAAGTGGGTGTGCTAGCATCTAGTCGAAAACTAGGTTCTGTTCTGCTTTCTGCTTCTGATACAACCAGATGGGCAGGTCACTTCATCCTTCTAAGGTTTGGGCTCCCCCTTTACAAAGTGGAGATGATCATGTATAAGTGACTCGGATAGTGGGAAGATTCAGTAAGAAAAGTTATCCTGATCTAGTTCCTTCATGGTCACCAGATGATGCCAAGGAAATTGGGTTTTTCCCTTGGGATTCTCAGTTCTCAGTAGCATTAATAAAGAATATAAGACACTCAAATAGAAGCTCGAAGAAAATTTTATTAGAGTTTAAAATAAAAACCTCCGAGTAGGCGAGCTGTAAATATTGGGAGCTCCTCAGTGGAGGAAAATAGGGTAAAGAAGAAAAAAGGCCACATTGTTTGAGTTAGGCTGACAGGGCGATCAAATACATGGGCAGTGTGCCCCATCGTAGGAATGTGAGCATCAGAGAATAAAGAAGCCCAAAGTACCAGAAAGAGCATTCATAGGTTCTGGCCAGCATCTGCCCAGAGAGTGAGAAAAGAGAACAGTTGTGTCTTATTCAGAAGCCTGGATAGACCAGGCAAACTTCATGATGTCTCCTAGGGACTGTGATGGAAGGTGGGGTGGGTGGGATAGAAAGTGTGAGAAGGAAAATACAGTGTCACGCTAAAGGAATAATTATTCCACTACTCTCTTTAGTATGGCTTAAGGTAACACTGCCTTTCCAAAGCTTGTCATGCCTTCCTGAGAGGCGTCTCTTTTAGCCTAAGTCACCTATCAGTCAGATTAACTCTTACAGGAGAGGACAATGACATGTCTCCAACCTGAGGCAGAGCCCGTTCTTTACCATCAAACGAAGAGTCCTCTGCGCCTGCTTATGGATGACACAAATGGCCAGTCGTAGGTTTTAAAAAGGTTTGTCTTACCAGAATGATACAGGGTGCTGCACCTCATAATTCTAGGGATTTGAAGTCTTAGAAGCAGAAAGCCAGTGTTATTGATTCTCATCCCATCTTTGCACATGCCTTGTGGCCTTGGGGAAGGTGTCTGCACCCACTTTTTTCTGTGCCTCTCCCCGTTTCTCCTCCCCCAGCAGTTCTGTCTGGCAATTAACCAGATGGTGCCCTGCCAGGAGGGGAGAAACAAGCAGTTATCATCTGAATGGACCAATGAGCAGCCGGTTCTTTTTCCTCTGCTTTTGACAAACTGACTGCCAGCCCAGCACTGTGCTTAAATAAGTTAATAGGTATGTTCCCTGACAGAGTGAATGCTTTAATTATAAAATACAGTGAGCATGTCATTTGGTTTTTGCGATTTTATTGAGTACTACTATCTTGACATATTTTGTTTGGCACTAATCTCTAGTTACAGTGGGGCCAGTGGCTGAAATAGTTTGCAGACTTTGTGAAACAAAAATCCTCGTTTAATGACTTAGCTTGGCTACATTTTCAAAATATACAAATGCATAATGTTCTTTTACTTTATGGGGAGCTTTTATTGCTGCGGTTTGGTGTCTTGTTCTTTTTTGCTCCCCGCTGCCTTTGCTTTCTTCTTTCTTTTGCCTATTCAATATCTATTTTTAGTCTTCTAGCTATAGCAGCCTAAACAGAAAGCATAAGAGAAAAATAAGCTTGGGAGGAAGTGAACTTCCCAGTGAAGAAGAATCACCCTTGTAGTGCTTGAAGTCAAGAATGTGTTTACCCTCTGGCCTGATGCTGACTATTTGCATGCAAGCATGGGACTGTGGAATCTCTAGGGGCCACCAGAATTGGTGTTGGTGATGCATCCCAGCAGAAGGCCTGGAGATGTGGCTCTGCAATAGAACACTTACCTAGCACTCAGGAGACCCTGACTTTGGCTCCCCCAACCAGAAGAAGGGACTTGAGCCAATGTAAGTCCCTAGGTCACTAAACTCCTGACATTATGCCAAAGTAGAAATGTTAATAGTCCTCTGGGTCCTGGCTGACTCTTCATTCTCCTTCCTCTTGCTATTCCTAATTCAAGAACAAAATTCAGAGCTCAGAGCTGTTACAGTAACATTGGCTAGAACCTTACTGAGAACATTGTGCTATGTCTTTGTGATGTAAACAGGGCTATTCCCAGTTAGCTTGGGGACCTATTTTCTACTCTTAATTGCACAAAGTATAATTATCATCCTCTGGTCTGGAAACAGCTAAGTGCTTTGGAGAAGTTCACAGAGATTTTATTGTTATGGCATAGTTTATCTGGGGAACCAGAGGAAGCAAAGATTAAGGCAAAGGGCATTTCCAGAGTGGAAATAATAACATGGTCTATACTAACATCACAGCCATGCCTACTAGGTCACACAATCAGAGACTACCTTTGGCAGGGACTGACATGGATTGTGGTAGGGAAAGTCTAGATAAAAACTAACAATATGTTTTGTCTTAGCGAGCTGAGCCACACACAGATCCATCTTATCTAAGTGAGTTATCTAAAACTCCCAGCAGGCATCTGGAAACAGTGAGGCCCAACCTGCCTTGTAAAGCTCCCTTTTCCCCAGATGTTCAGTACCAGGGACTTTGTTATTTTGCTGACTTGTTGAGAAATCATAGAAACACCAGGACAGTGGAGAGAGCAGTGTCTGGCATGGGGAGAGAGAGGCTGTTTGCTTGTTAGGGAAGATCCTTTCATAGGCAGTTCTGGCATACAGTAGGTATTAAATAGAACACCCAAAAGATACTTTACTTTAGATTTGTGCTAGAGTGATAATTCCCCCTCTGATACTAATTAGCACACAGCTTTCAAAAGCCTATTTACCCTCCCAGTGTCTCACAGACTACCAGCTGGATCCTGGCATAACAGTACGCTGGTATGCTGTTGTATGGGGCATTTCTGTTTTGAATAGTAATCATCTGTATACATTTCACATATCTTTGAAAAAGTGGGTCTGTTGCCCCTGAGAAGCATGGATTCATGATCTCAGGGCGGCCCTGGGGAAACTTGTAACTTCTCAGTCAGCCTTTTGTAATCGAGGGACCATGGCCTGACATGGGGTGTGTGTGTGGGGGGGGGGGGGGGGAGCGCATGGCCATTTAGCTCTTCATTTTGCCTTCTGCATCATGTAGGACACACAATCCTCCTTTAATTGCATGCTTGGTACATACTTCAAGGGCTGTCCCGGGAACAATAAGAGGGCTGTTGTTGAAACCTCATTGTTTCCGTCACAGTGGGAAGAAAAAAAAGAAGGTTCTTGTGGCTTGGAACACTTAGGTGTGAGCCTGTCATGTTGAAAGAACGGAAAGGAGTTAATTGATATTACTCCTCCTCCTCTGCAATAGTTAAATGCCTGTCTCTCCGAACTAGAGGACCAAGCCTCTCCTGCCCAGTTCCTCACCTTCGGCTGGCTTTTTCTCTTTGGCTGCTTTTTTTTTTTAAAGTTTTTGGTTAGTATACGAAGCTATGGACTTCAATGGGACACTTGCATACATGTGTATCAGTATACTTGATTCTCATGTCCCCTCCTCCACTGCTTTCCCTCTTGCTGGTCCCCTTTCTTCCTCAGAGTAGATTCTCCAGCTGCTCTCATGACAAATATTCCATTACCCTCTCTTGCCCACCCCCTCTGTTGTCTTGCTTTTTTTTCTTTCAATTTGTTAAGATGCTGAAATCTGCTTTGCGTGATTTATGAAGAAACTTGAAGCGATTAGATTGGTAGTGCATGAAAATTCCTCAGGTTGGAGAGCATGGCCAGTCTGGCACACTGTCTGCAAGGGACTGGATGGGAACCCTAGCAGCTAGCTCCGAGCCATAAGGAGCTTGTGTTGAGTTATTAAACACTTGTGGTAAAGCTGCTTATTGTTAATTCCCTGATGTCCTGCTGAAGCGATAGGCTAAAATCAGATCGGATTAGATCAGAGAGCCTGGGAGCCAGCCTTTGGAGCAGATTCATTTAATCAATAAAGAGACCTTCTGAGGGGGAGGAGGGATCTGGGCTGTGCTGGTTGCCCAGGGATTAACATGCCATGTGTGGAAAGTTGTGGGAAAGAAACAGCAATTTAATTGCATATCTTGCTCCTTCTTAAGAGTAATTCTCTTCTCAAACATTGTAGCTTACTAAAGGGTATACATATTTATTTAAGATTTTATTGTTCCAATAATTAAGGGTGGTTTTTTTGTTTGTTTTTTTAGAACAGAAAAAAATTCTGCTCTACAAAAGGTATTTCAGTCAAAACAATTTAGGCTTAAATGATTCTCCAAGAAACACTAATTCTGTGTGAGTTAATCTGCAAAATTCCTGTTGTTCCCCTTGTGGAGAGAATATTGGGGAAGGTCCCACTTCCCTACTAGATTTGGAAACTCCCCTGACTACCTTCCAACCCTCCCACAGCGTACTTCCTTCACCTGTGACTAACAGGTACACTCACCTCTCAGTCTGACCATGCCTACTGTGGACTTGACAGAAATGTAACCGTGGCACACAGTAGAATGTTAGCTGTGGGAAAGGAGGAGAAATGAAAGCCAACACAAATGAAGACACCAAGTCCCTCAAGGGTTATTGGTCTTAATGGTGCTGTAAAAATGATGTCCACTTTTACCAGGACTAATTTATATTCAGAATTAAATAAGGACATGTATATATAAATCCATTCTATAAAACTTAATTTTCCATCTTATGTGCTGATGACTCAGGGCCGGCCTACCTTTACTGTTTGCTAATTACTGCAGGATGGTTTAACACTATTTTCCAAATCAGCATGCATGCAGAAAATGACTGCAATCCAATTTGACACATTATTAGTGATGATTATTGTCATAGATAAATTAGATTGAACAGAAAATAACCTTCATCCTTAGCATGTTTTAGCTCTCAGAATTAATGTGATTTGGTGAACACATATAAATAAAGATCTGATGAGTCCCTGCTGACTGCAGGGCCTGATGCTGCTGGAGTGTATCAATTTCATGCAGATGATGAATTCCTTAAGCATTCAGCGATAATCATGCTTGATTTGACAAGACTTTCTCATGCTATTTTAGGGCCTTAATTTTCTGTGAAGTTCTGTCAAGTGCTCATCAAGCACCCACTTATCTCTGTATCTTAACCCGGCAGCCAATCACAAGGTCGCCTAACAGTACAGCTCTGAGGGCTGGTCCATTAATATTCAAGTCACCTGACTGTCCAAGGAGAGAAACCAATCAATAGCTGATTAACATTCAGATCACATGACTCCCGAGGAGAGTAAATGAGTTACACAGTAAGACATCAAACAAATTTTCATCTTGAAAGAGTGATTGCTTTTTCTGCTGCTGTGATGTTTGTCAAATTCGCTCTAGCCTTGTCCAATTAAGCTCCATGAGCTGAATTAATAACGAGGATCTGTGAGCACCATGCCAGTGTGAGAGTGACGAGTAGCTATGGAATAAGAACTGCTAAAGAAATTCCTAGAATGATTGAAAAATCACATCTGGATAACTGGAATAATTGCTTTTGCAATTCTGATACTCCTGTGCAAAATGTGAACTGGTGGCTGCTGGGACATGGGGAGGGGCTGGCATTGTACTTCAAAGACGAATGTGGTTTTAACTTTAAAGTGATTTTAAAGGCATTACACAAATACATCTTAATTGGATTTTTTTACCACAGTAATGAATTTTATTTGCATGTTTGGTTATATACTGGGGCCTCATAGAGATATAATATCAAGATTTTTACCTGATTCTTAGACGATGAGAAGCTGGGCTTCTTCTGCACTCTGGTATTCTAGGTGAAGAAAGGACAGCGGCAGCTTCTCCTAGAATGTGAGTTGTGATCTTTATGGGTGTCATTTTATTAACTTTCAGACATCAGTAAATTAGATTTGTTTACTATCTAAAAGGTAAACGCAAACCAAGTGGGAATGAGAAAGCCGGTGCTGTCTCACTATTGACAGCCAAGGAGAGCTTTTGGGAAGTTCTGCTGCGCTGCTAAACTCAGGTGGCATGTTTAGAATAGAGATCCTATGACTAATAAAGCTTTCATTTCTTCCCTAAAGGGAGTTAAGACCTAACTAATGGTTTACTGGAATTATCAAAGAGTGTCAAATCCCACTCGGTAAGTTCCAGCATGAAATTAGCTAAATTCCCAAAGGCCTTTCTAAAACAATATAGTTGAATAAAAGGTGTTGGACTTTCTGGAGAGAGTAAGAGCAGTTACAGTGAGAAGAAATCAATTCTACCATATCAGGAGGCAATGTCTATGCAAGCAGTTAATAACTCTCTTAATGGGACTTCTTGGCTTGGTGATTCCCAGACAGGGCAGAAAGGGAGATGCGGAACACAGGGGGGCAAAGGGCCATCAGTCAATTCCCAGCACTGCTAGTCAAGTAGAAATTTCAAAGGAAGAAGAAATGAATGTAAAGTCCCTGCAAGCAGACGAAGGGGAGACGAGCCCTGCATTTAGCAGGGAGTAGGGAACAAAGGTGCAAAAGGAAGGCTTGCTAGCCTGAAATGAACCATCAGCGTGTAATTAAGACGGACTCTGTCTCAAGTGCAAGGGACCCCACTTACCAAGAGGAGTTTGCTCCAGATTAGGCCTGAAGGAGGCCTTCTTATGGATGTGTTTGATTAAACAGCAAAAAACAAACAAGAAAACCAAAAACTGCATAAGTTGGGGGTCCCAACTACTAAGGCTCAAAAATCCAACCTCAGACACTTAAGAAAATATTCTAAGCTGATCTGAAAACTCTCAGTGCCCAAGGTAAATTAAGTTTAACGGATAGTCTTTTGAATATTTAATCCCCAGCTCAACCTGGAATTCTGCGAACATTCCACATCCGCCCACAGGCAGCCAGGGCGCCCTTCTTAGAAGCACCCACTTCCTGCTGCTTAAGACCCACGGAAGGGAAGGTGGTTCCAGGTTGTCCTCAATCAGCTTAGAGGGCTCTGAAGAAAAGATTATTCCACTTTCCGCATAACTTTACATAATTAATAGTTTTCCATGCAAACTATTGTTTGCCTTAATTGTTGTTTCAACAGCTGTTTTCATTAAATTGTGAAACCCGCTGTGTCTAATCCTTTGAGCTCCAGTATTGACAAGAAGAAAGGCCCAGAGCTGCTCTGGGAGAAGAGATCCCTGCCAAGCTGGGACACCATCATGAAGTTACTTGAAAAATAAGGCCTTCACTGGGGCTGGTTGTGTTGCTAATCCATTAGGCTTTTCAAAAGAGCCATGCCCTGCACCCTTATGGCTAAATTGACCCAACAACCAATCAATGCCTTTATTTGCTGAGTGGCTACCCCTGCAGGGTCTTACAGCCTGGTCCAAGCTGTAATCAAAGCCTCCATCAGTACTGGGGCCCAGATGACACAAATAGCCCAACTTTGAACGTGGCTGGCCTGGGGCCAGTCACACCATTTTGAAGATACAAAGAGGCTGTGTTGCGCGATGGAATTCATTTTCTTGTTTACTTCCTCCAGAAACAAGAGCATCATCAGCGGGGCCCAGTGCTTGGGCAGACCGCGGAGTTGTTGACAGAAGCTTGGCTAGGCTCGACAGCTTTCCCCATGAAATGCTGGCTTTCTTCTCACACACCCCCTACTGTTTGTGTCTCTGCCAATTGTAGCACACCAGAGCGGCCATTGAGATAATGACCGTGAAGTCTCTCGATACACTTTGATGAAGTGTAACATTTTTTTTTAAGGATTTCTGTCTGTGCCAGAATGATGGAGGCAGCTGACTAAAAATCTCCCCATCAAAATCAAGGCTGATGAACAGCAGGCAGAGGCATAACCCTCCCTGGAGGAGACAGGAGCTTGCAGCCAAAGTGTCCTTTCCCTGTTTGCTCACCACAGTCTTCGCTTGTAAAGGTACCTTTGTTTCAAGATGAATATACATCAGTTGCTGCTTCAGTCGCCAGCTTTTTAGAATTCTTTTTTTATTGCTTTCTACCAAATCCCAGAAAATTGCAAGGACCGATCCCTTTCTGCCAGCTCCCTATTTAATGATTTGGAAAATAACCCTTGGTTGACAACTTTGTCTCAGCTGGGAAAAGCAGGGGCACTTCACAGGCTCCTGTCAGAGACTGACCCTAGGCTTGGCCCATTTAGGATTTCTTTACTTTGGCCCGATTAATAGCAGGTCAAACAAAAGTGGTTATGAGCCAACCAGAAGCAAAATTAAGCTAATAGCATAGATGAACACAGACATTCTTTGGGAAAAAATGTCTTTTATTTTTTTCAGTCATCACGTCTTACATTTATTGAGCACTTGCCGTCACCCAGGGATAGTGCCAGATGAGGTAAATTAGGAAATGAAGGGCCAAGTGAGGAAGCTGAGAGCTGGAGATGTCACTTATCCAAACCTGGCAGAGCCACTCCTTTGTAGGAAATGAAGGCCCAAATGAGGAAGCTGAGAGCAGATGTTCCCTAAGCAAACTCCGAAGACCTGAGTAGGGAAGCAGGGTCTGTTCCACATGAGGACCGGCTTCCGTGACTGTCCATCTGTGGACACCTTCAGTCAGCACACCTACAGCTTACTAAGTGGTGCTCAGGCAGAGAAGAGAAAACAGTTTGTGGTTTAATAGGTAAAGGAAAGAGTACGACAACGCGAGTTTACGGTTTGCCTTTTTCAGGGGTCAGCCTTTTCAAGGAAGATGTTAACCAGGCCACATCCTCTCCTGCATGTTTATATACATAAAACTCGGAAAGTGGAATTTTAGCTGAAGGGAGGTTTGGCTGCCTCATTCTTACTCAGGTGACAGCTCTAAGTGTGCCCCATCCTGCAGAGGTGTACAGGCAACAAAGGCTCAAATGATCAGAATGGCACTATTAAAGAGTTGCCTAGGCTTAATTGAGTACGCTTATGTATGAAGGACATCACAATTTGCCTCTGTATAATGATCCATCTTTCTGAGAACAACAATGCATGCCAGAGCAAGGCAGGGGATAGAAAATTCTAAGAGTGAGGGTAAACAAAGTCAGGGGCATGGTAATAATGATAAAAATACTTGTACTTGGTTCAGGCTTGGTTGCTCATGCTTGTAATCTTAGTATTTAAGAGTCTGGGGCAGGAGGATTGCTGTGAATTTCAGAACAGCCTGGGCTACCGAGTGAAACTGTGAGACTCTGTCACAGGAAACAAAACAAAATGTAAGGGAATGCCTGAATGTGGAAATGAGATGAGTATTTCCTAATTGTGACAGTTCTCCTTTTCCGCAGTCTGAGGCTCTCCCCCCTACCACTGTGAAAGCCTAGGTTGTTACTTCCTGTTGCATCTATTTGTCACTCTTTGTCCAAGTAACAGCAGAGAGTTGATTGGCTTACCCTCTCTCCATGTTTTTCCTGATCCACCAGCCCCAGAAACACCCACTCCCCCTTTCTTTCTTCCTGTCCCTCTCTATCAGACCTCCTCAGTCCTCTAGCAGCTCCACGGCTGATCCTGACCAGCCAATCACTGAATCCATCCTTTGATTTAAGGTGGCTTTGTTGGCATAGTGCAATGGTATTATGAACAATTTTCTCACAACATTTCCCCTTTCTGTCCAAAGAAAAGGGAAATGTTTTCACTCTAACATAGTAAATCTATACAATAAAAACAATTATTAAATAAGGAAGACATTCACAATGTAAACTCTGTTAGTGGTTGGCAAATTCAGAGAAAATACTCAATTATATATCCTATTTTGGTGAGTCCAAACTTTTGCACCGAATTTACTTTCTGTCATAACTAAGAAAAACTGTAACTATAACTATCTAATCATCAACACCATCAGATACCTGAGAAGGATATAATATTACCTGAATAAACAGCAAGCAACATGCAAAACTAAGAAATGACAGTGACATCTGGATGCCTGGACAGTCACTCAAGTCTCCTCTATAATGATAGGCATCCATCTTCAGCTTATGGGCCTAAAATATTTCACAGACTTTCTGTGAAGCAGGAATTTTAAAGGAATTACCTACCTTGTCATGGCAAAGTTTGGTAGTTGCCTTCTTTTGTGTCCTGTTTGTCCAGTTTGGAGAGCATACTGTTAGTGGTTGAGGCAAGGGCAGTTTCTTTGCCCAGTGGCTAACTTTGCCAAAAAGGAAAACAAACTCCATATGGAGGTTCCTTGATACCCATGCCTGTCATCCTCCTGTGAAGTAAATTGCTGCTGCCAGGAGCAGACATGTTTCACTCTCATGAAAAGCTTTATGTTACTAAAACATTAAAATACCGTACTCTATACATCTCTGAAGTGTTTGAAGACACATCTATTTAAAATATGTTTCTGATAGACCTTGAAAACATGCCTGATATGACTAACTACTAGCTCATATTTCTTTATTTTCCTAAATAGCTTTAAATGACTAGCACTTTACATTATAAAATAAGTAAAATACCTTAAACAAGGATTAGAATCATATGATACATTATAATAAAATATCTTACTCAATAAACAATAATACCTTAAACAAGAGTAGAAACATTTATAGTATAACAAAAATAAATTTATATTTGTTTCAGTATCCAAATTCCATACCAATGTAAAATATTTGAGATTAGTAGTTGACTTTTAAATTTGAAAGTAGATTCAATAATCTACACTTTTATCCTATCATTTCTATAGCTCCCCTTTTTATTTTCAGAAGGAGATTCTTGAACCTATTTTCCTTTGCTTAGTTTTCTCCCTGACCACGACCAATAACACCTTGCTTATAGCATAGCCATCAATCTCATTATAGGGGAAGGGCATTTAAGATAGTCTCTCCCCTTTGTTTAGATTCTTAGTTGGGGTAATCCTAGTATATCTCTGGATATTTCCCTAGTCCTAGATTTCTCTTTAAACCTATAATGGCTCCCTCTATCAAGGTATCTCTTTTCTTGCTCTCCTCTGTTTTCCCCCCAACTTAATCTTCCTGGTCCCTATCTTCCTTCCCCCTCCTCTTCTCCCCTTCTCTTTCTTCTAACTCCCTCTCCCCTTCCCCAGCTCCCAATTTGCTCAGGAGATCTTGTCCCTTTCCCCTTCTCCAGGGGATCATGTATGTCACTCTTAGGGTCCTCCTTATTTCCTAACTTCTTTGGTGGAGTGGATTATAGGCTGGTAATCCTTTGTTCTATGTCTAATACCCATACATAAGTGAATACATACAATGCTTGTCTTTTTGTGACTAGGTTACCTCACTCAAGATAGTTTCTTCTAGTTCCATCCATTTGCCTGCAAATTTCAAGGAACTGGGATTGATATACAAATAATTTTTTTCTAATTTAACTAAAAGCAAAAAGGAAAGAATGAAATTCTGAGACTTTTAGAAGATTTTCTATTAATAGCTGATCAAATTCATCACTACCTTGTGCTAGAATGCCTGGTAGACTCATAAATGATCTGATATGTGGTATGTGATATATATATATATATATGATTATTTCTATCTCTGATTGTTTCTTGTAATTGAATGAATAACAAAGAAAAGAGGTTCTATATAAAGGTTCTAGAAAAGAGGTTCTATATAAAGAGATTCTAGAAAAAGTCATTACTACTGTGATAATAGCATACCAATCTGACTTTTGAACAGAGTTGTAAAAGCTTTGAGCCACTTTACCTAAATTTCATGAGTTATAGCCCAACTTTCAGGATTTATTTGCATCAGTATAGATTGTACGAGCTCCAGAAACTGGTGTTCCTTGTCCAATGTGAAGATGAATTCAATTTATTATTTTTTTTAGTAAACTGAAGTCTCTTGCTTTTGATATATTTTTTCCTATTTTCTCCCAAGAAATTACTTCAAGC